TAGATGCATGAAAGTCATATGGTTTAAAACATTTAATGAATTCATTACTGTATTTGATACGATTTGTGATCATATTTTGTTAAAATTAAAAATGAAAACATGATGTATTAGATGCAAATATGTAGATATACAGAAAGGTAGCCCAGATGTCAAACAGGTCGTATAAACTGGTGCTTACAAGAGATTCATGCAATTTTTACGGGCACAATCATTTGTGTTACAAATTACAATCCTGAAGTATCATATATTAATACTTTTTCGAAAGTTTAAATTGTTCAATTATTGTACAAGCAATCAGAACAGGTTCTCATACATGCTAAATTGTAAACCGTTCACCATCAAAGTTGAGCGACAACCCTAACTTCGTTCCGTTTCCTGCTGATAGTTATAGTCAATCAGTGAACAGCGTATATTTTGGTAAGTACGATTGTCTATTTCCCACTAGGCGCCGGATTATTTTAGAACTATTCTATCAAATCTGGACCACAGTTCATGTGAATTTTATAGTATTCGCTTCGCGTAGACCAAGGGCAAAGCAAAACAAAAGAAGTGATTTTCCAAATTACGAATTATATTTTGGGACCAAATTGGAGTGCGAGATGATTGCTTAACTAGCTAGAGATCGTGCACGAACGAACGAACGTAACACGACAGCGTGCCAAATGGCGTGGACGCTTGACCTTAGGCCTTCAGCCAAACAAATTGGCTAAAACAGTGAGGGTTAGCATCCAGTGTTCATTGATGAATGCTGTGGCTTATAATTCTTGGGAATTACGACACTGTCTTGACCTGACTTTTGCCATAGATTCACTAATAAATTAACAGATTTAGTGGTGGAAACTTTAATATATGAAGGACACATATACGCGTACATGAGAATCATTCGTTATATTTTGTCAGGTTGTGACTTGTTGGAGGCTCGACCCACAAGCATTGCGTCGACTATTAATCACTCGAAAGTGATTATGAGGTTGCATGTATATTGGCGTCGAATGTTGCAACAGAGGGGATGAATGATGTGATACTTCACTAGTCCTACCCTCTGAACCACTGTAGCTTACTTGTAGTCCCACCTGGAACCAGCTGCCAGCATGTGTGAGATTTACGACCTAGTGCTCCCAAATGCCATACGTATCTTGAGATGAAAGTATTCGAATCCCAGTGGAACAGACGGCCTCAATAGAACATCTCCATTTTTCCCGTTATCTGCGGTCCTCTTTAATTAATCCCACAACTGCCCATATTCTCTCGCTTCCACCCCAAATGGTCTCCTGCGCGTCAACCTTGGACCAAATGTGACACGTCGTTCCCATTTCGATTCCTCCCAAAGGACTATCTGGTGCGCGACGTCACCTAGAGTTTCTACTTAGCATGCGTTCCAACCACCTCCATTTACTTTGGAATATTTGTTTATCAGTTGCTTCTTGATTGGTTCCTTTCCAGAATTATTTTACTGTAATTCTTTCTGCCTAGGCATCAGATATTCATTATGGAGCAAGTGAAGACAGCTGTTCATAAAATTCTGCAGTATTCCAGAAATGCTTTTCGCGACGCGCACAATGACTTTCTGACCCATACAGAAAAACTGACTATACACTGGTGTTGCAGATCTGAAGATTGTTCCTTATACTGAGTGAAGTAGATTTTCAGAGTGATTAAAAAGCGATGATATTCTGCCTTGCCCATTCGATCCTGGAAGGGTGTGACATCCTCATCTGTTTAGGCTGTAATTGAGACAATGCTGCTTGGATAAGTGAAAGACTTAATGTCAATGGACGCGAACATTGAGCGTTTGCTTATTGGAACTGGTAGCCATTGGTGGGCAACTCGAAGGCGCGAATGGTTCAATCGTGGCAGCCTGTATACGGCCGTAGGTCATTTGATCAGCTGATGTATAGTGGCATTATTTATTCAAAAAACCTCGAAATTAGGTAATTTTTCGTTGTTTTACACACTTTTATGCATATATTGCAGCTATGAGTCTGTGGAATAAAGCGTTTTTAGCATAAACAGCAAATGATGATGTCCTTATCCGGTCGTAATTTACGGCCAGTTTACAAATTGTTGAAATACGTACTTTTCCTTTCAGAAAATGCCGAATTATTTGAAGACACACGTTATAACGACTTTTAGTAATGTATTTTGCAGTTCAAAGTATTATACATAGACATGGTGAGGTAGGCTAGTTAGTTTTGTTAGTCATTTTCACTTACTTTGTTATGTACCTTAGGTGATAGTGTCAAAGATCCTCCACATATATTTATATAAAGAAAATGTACAGAAATACTCGGGAATTATTTTCATTGTTATTTACTTCTTATACTGCATAGATTTGGTCTTTACAGGCAGATACAATATCCATTTTTTCTGCTTGAAAAATATTGAATGATGTAAGTATACACAATTTAACGCATTATCTAGTGTTTTCTACCACTTAAATTTTGTATTTATAATGGTAAAAATGTTCACATCTTTTGATTGCTTAATTTCTTTTTCAGGTGACAGCTACTTTCGGGGATTTCATGGAGTTAGGTGATAAAGAAGATTTCCGCAGTGTCATTGATTTTGTATTACATGGTAATTCATTAATAAATCTATTCCTCGTTATTCGTTTGTATATTCTACTTGATAAGACCAAATATTAGCCTTTGCGTAAGTTGTGAGGTACAGAGTATATGAGGCTATCTTTGAAATACTAAGTAAGAGCAGATATTCGGAGAAGCCTATTGTTAAAAAGATTATGTTGTAGTTAAATAAAGTGAATATGTCCAAATCTCAGAAGAGGTATTGTGACTATAAAGCATTTCGAGTTATATATCGTCTTAGAACACATAAACTGATTCGCTATTCATAGTCACAAAGTGAAAATAAATCTACCTGATAGTGTGCTTATGATTTCTGCATGTCGCAATGTATCATAAGGATAGGCTGCACCTATACTGTTAGATTTATAACTCAGTGCAACTACGGTTTTCGTAATAATCAAAAATAGAATGCCTACGGTTCTCAGCCACACAACACGATACGTTGCTACCTGTTCATCTAATCGCGTAAACGAAAGTTTTCCAGACGCTGCACTTACTCCTAACAGTTTACCCTCAACTCCTACCTTAGCACGTGTTACTAATGTTACTAGAACACAATCGCATTACAACAGAAGGAACACAGATTCATTGAAAAATTGTTTATCAAACAAAGATTAGACTTCAGATGTACAGATAATTCAGATGAGTAGTCCTCCGTTACTGTCAGTAGGTTCCATCTGCGTACGCAGCACATAAATGTTTCTCCATAAGCCTGAAAAGATTTAAGGAAAGCATTATTAACTTGGGAATTACATGTATGATCTGAATAAAAAATTTATCCTGATAAGCATTTACAAACAATATGTATAAATAGCTAAATAGTTTTCACTAAACTTAAGGGACTTCGCAATTTATCGTTGGTCGATATCTAGTAGGTCCATCGAAGCATCATGAAATGATAAAATTATTTAACGACAAGTTATGCAGTGGTTTCCAAAGCTGGTACAAAGATTTTAGTAAAAATGACAACGGCTTTATGACAAGTGATAGGTCTTGACAGCAATAATAACAATAACGTTCACGTTCATAGTGACTATAAAAACAATAATAGATATTATTGTCGCAGCGAATTCACCATTAACGTGGATGGACGACCACTAAAACACAATCATATCAATTAAATGTATCACTTAATCTTATGAATCAGGTGTTTACTTAATTTCATTGTACTCTCTCAATACTGATACGGTCAACTAGCTAATTCCAAATGAACTCAAGATTAATTCTGAAAGTGAATGGAGATCCAGTTTATGTCAAATAAAAACATGTAGCCTACACGTAGTACACTACTTGCTGTGACGTTTGCGCTTTCAATCAGTGTAGCTGTTTCACACAACCCCCTTCACCGACTGACTTCACAAAGTTAAAGAAACAAACACGAAGGGAAAAGGAAATACCAATTACTCATACCTCTATGCATACGTAAATAACCATACCACATAAATAAACGGTGACAAGACAGGAAACCGTTGGGTCAGTTAGAAAACTCTAGAAGTTCTGAACTAAACGGATGATTTATGTCTAGTATTACACAAAATCCAAGGCATACAGGCAACAGTCAACAGTTTGGTAGGAAAGGCTGCGAGCAAAGACAGGACTTCCAGGGAATATGGAGAAGACACCTAACCAATAACAACTACAACAACGAGCAGCAACGATTATCAAACAGGAGAAATTTGAGAAAAGTCATCTCTTTCACTTACCTACACAGCTTTGTTGCGACTACAGAAGATAAGGATGAGGATGTCAAAGTCAGTCAGAATTGAAAGACAGAAAGACCTTGATTAATCTGAAATCAGTTTGGAAATCAATTGCACTAAGCATCAAGAAGAAGATTTGGATTTTCGACACCAATGTGAAGTCATTCAGTGCTTCTATATGGTCCAGATAATTGGTATGTCACCAAAAGCATTTCGAACAAGCTTCAAGCTTTTATCAACAGCTTATTTCGCAGGATCCATTACTAAAGATCAGATTTCTAGAAACGATCAGCAACAGAGAACTCTGGCAACGAACCAACCAAGAACCTATCACTGAACCAACAACTGCAGAAGAAAGTGGAGATGGACTGAACGTGCGCTGAGACTGCTGAGTGAAATCGCGCACCAGACCATCACCTAAGTGGAGTCTGAATAGCTAACGGTGAGTTGGACGTTCGAAAGTGACATGGAGGAGATCACGTAAGGAGAAAAAAGTTTATGAGCAATCATGGAGCCAGCTAAAGAGGGCTGTAGATAACAGAGTGAAGTGAAGATATGCTGCAGGAGCTCTATGTTCTCAAAACCCAAAGGAGTAATATAATTAGTAAAAATAAATAAACAAACTTGCCTCAGGATGTGCCTCTATGATAACGTGAGAATGCGGAGAATATTTCTGTATAGCTGTATCAACGATACCCATACCAAAACCAACATTTCAAATATTAAGCGGTGGTTTATTATCGTTATTACTGCCGACGACATCTGCATGACAAATCCATGCTGCATGTTTCTCCATGATAGGTGTTTCCCAATCCATCATAACAGCCAATTGTGTATTCGTATCCACCAGGCATTTACCATCCCCAGCATACTCTAGTCGGCTAGCAAGATAAGCGGCATTGAGTTGTTCAGTCTTCTCAGTCCTATTAGTATTTTCGATAACTGTTGAGTAATTCATAGAATCAATATTTTCTAAAGATAGTGATTCACTTTTATCAACAGCTAACGACAACAAGAGTTCAGACATAACTGCATGATTCAGTATGGCATCAGTACAGAGTTGATGACCATTTTTCGCAGCATAATCACCGGCACATAGATATTCTCTATCCACTGCATTCCATGGCGCACCTTCTGAGAGTAAATAATTGACAATATCTGTGTTTCCAATTCCAGCTGCAATCATTAGAGGACTCACACCAGTTTTGAAATCCTGATAGCATATATATTTGGTACCTGCTTTCCCATCTTCGTGACAAGAATACAGTATATATAGGTATACCTACATATACATAAATATACGTATATGCTGAATCAACCATGCCGTTTTCATCATAATTAACCAGTCTACTGTGTATTTTATACTTATTTAAGCATCTCTGAAAATAAAACTCAAGCGATAATTTAAGTTGCATGAAGTTATTACCTCTACAGAACACTGTTTGCATTCTTGACACTTCTGAGAAGTCCTTAGATCCTGGTATAGGATTGTCAGTTATCTATCCGACTTGACAAAACGCTCCTGGAAAGTGAGAACTTAACCAGGCATCTAAATGATGTTTGAAATTACCGCAACTCGAATGACAAACTGGCCAATCACAAGCGAGTAAATCACTTGTTTATCTCACTCGCGGGCACACGAAATTACGGCCGTCGATAGGATGCCTTCAGTCGTGTACAAGTTGGAGGAAGACGAACAAATACGAAAAAAGTACATTATATTTAATGTAAAACATTTGCTTACAGACTTGTAACTATCTAGACTTTAATTGCCAAACAATATAACCTTCTAAAAAGTAATGGTGTTTTGGAGTTAAAGTCGAGAAACGTACATAGTAATTATCGGTTCGGAGCTTCTTCGCAAATAATAGGAACTTAGGGTTAAGTTCCTTGACAACTAACCTATTTCAAATTGCTTCTGTTCATAGAGATTGGTACTTGGTGTCGGTAAGTTAACTTAATCAGCCCTGTCTCCTCTATTTTCACTTGGAATCCTGTCTATTTTGCCACTTCTGCCAGTTCTTTCCCCGGAGTTACTCAAGTTTGTGTGACATCATACACGAATCATCCATGAAGTTCAGATCCTCTAGAGTCTTCTTTTCTTCACAACGTAATCCTGTCTTCTCACCCATCACACTCTGAAGCATAATACAGTCCACCTCAACTACGAATGCCATCGGTGATAATAAGCAGCTTTACCTTATTCCTGTCTCTACATCAAAAGATTTAATGTGTTTTTCGTTACGGACTGCCTGATACATATCATTTTGATATGGCTCTTGAGTGGGGTTGATAAATATTCGGAACATTGTATTTTCGAATTAGTTTCCAAGTTGCTTCATGGTTAACACCTTAGAGCGCCCACTCAAAGTCGATGAAGTTGAGGTTAATATTTGAATGCAATAATTATTAATGTTTATTTTTACGTATGCAAGACACACCAGTTTTACAGGCATGGATAAGTATTATTTACATTAAATGAATTTGATTTGTAGTGAAATCACATGGTTGCTGTCCTTTCTGACATTAGTTTGTGAGTACAATCTGCTAACTAGTCATTCAGTGGAGCACACTAAGAAATGTAGAAATACTGTCTTCGCATTAACAAAAAAAACCCAATTATGTGTTGGGTGGATCACAAACATTTGGGAGAAAATTAAGCTTGAAGTCAATTCCTCCATATAACTTGTTCTGTGTGGCATCGTATCTTGTTCTTGATTTATGTTGAAATTGGGTATTAATTTGGAATGAGTGATTTATTTGTATGATTTTGTCAGCATTTTTATCGTAAGTAACACCAGAAGTGGATGGTACCCAATGCAGACTAATTTTGGACATTGTCAGCCAGATTCGTTTTACTGCGCCCACGTCAGCCAAAGCCGCCATTTGTCACTGCATGGTTGTTCCGTACTAGTAAGTTGATTAACATGTGAAAAACTGTTTTTAACCATTTTAGATCATGGATACTGCTTGTATAGGATGTTATACAGCGTCCTCATATGGTGACAGTGGATATTTCAAGGATGCTGAGTCATTACTAGCCAGACCTTGAAGATGATATATGAGTAAGTGATTTCAATTGATTCTCAGCTTCATTCTAGGTGTAGATCTGTGCAACTTCTACTACAAGGCAAATAGAAGAGAAGAGGCGAGCAGCAAAGTACCAGAGAGCAAAGAAAAAGTATGCAGAGTGGAAGATATATGTTTATATTCGTTGCACATTGTAATTTAGTAAACATACATATCTATTTCTACTTAACCTTTTTATGCATCTATGCGACTAGTCTATTTATCGTTTATAGAGTAAATAAGATATTTAAGCGCGTTTTTTAGGTACTGTAGTAAACTAAATTGATTCGTTCTAGGAATAAATAGTTTATTAATGTAATCAGTAGAGTAAAACAGTCTGTACAGAAAGCGTTTGAAACTTGTAACTGAGGTGCGAGTTCTGACATTTAGGGGCGGACTGTTCCATATTTTAGAATGCATGGCTGTGAAGAAGTTTTCGCGGAGTGTTGACTTAAAGGCTTTTATTGTCACTGTGCAAGTTTAGTTACGCAGATCTTAAGGGCCTTCCTGTGCGAATTGTATGTCCTTATTATCTGAGAATGATATTTTGTGTGGGACCTTAAAGAAGAGTACTAGGTTAACAATAAGTCATCTTGTCCAGAGTGGGTCAAGTTTTAGGATCATGAACCATGAGATGTAGTCTTTCTTACAATGGTAGCCAAGTAGTTTGGAGGTAAAATATCGTTGGATACTTTCCATCCTCAGCTTGTCACGTGTGCAAGTGCTACTAATAATACATGGACAGTATTATAGTAGTGGCCTTACACATGTTCTCCATAGAATGAGTTTGGCTTCATTGTCGTAGAAGTTCCTGAGTAATACACCTGAAGTGATTGAGCCAGGTTTGGAATTCACAGTCTCAAGTTTAACTCTTTGGGACCTGTTGTTAAGGAATGATTTCAGCTATCCTAATAGTGGGTCACGTATTCCTGAGGAGTTCAGCCGATGCATTAGCAGTAAATGCCTTAGAATTGTCAAAGAAGATGACAAGTAGTAGTTGTCTTATAATAATAATTTATATTTCGTATAAATGGGTAAGTTTAAAAGAAATGCACGCAATTTTTACAGGCATGATCAGTAATGTTATAAATTGCAATCATGAATTATCGTAAATTAATACTTTTTCAAAAGTTTAAATTGTTCAATTATTGTACAAGCAATCAGAACAGGTTCTTATAAATGTTAAATTGTAAACCGTTTACTAAGGTCACCATCGAAGTTGAGCGACAACCCAAACTTCTTTCCTTTTCGTACTGATAGTTAGGGTCAACCACTGAACAGTACTAGTTGTCTTCTGTCACGACTGCTGGTCACAAAACTAAAGAAGTCTGGGTGAAATGTTAAAAATGGTCTGGATTTTAGGAATCCATGTTGGTTCGGACTCAATGTTGCAACTAAGCATACGCTTGAGTATGCTATCTTTAACTAGTCTCTCCATAATTCTAGATTCTATGAGTGTGATATCGATCGGTCTGTGTTTGTTGACTTCTGTTTTTGAGCTGCATTTTTGTTTAGGTATAATAAATGTCGTTTTCAGTATATCCGGGTAAGTTTGGTTTTCTAAGGATATTGTGAGGATTTTAAGCAGTAGTAAGGGAATGTCAGGGCCACCATATTTATAGAAATACGATGATATACTGTCAGTCCCGAAACCTTTCGAGCTTTTGAGAGTTCCAATAGTTTGGTTAACGCTGGCATAAGACATCGGTCCCTAAAGATATTTTTGGCTTCAGAACTCGTATAAATTAATACGCATACAAAAGCAGTTCTTTTTGATGAAATGAGAAGGTAAATGTTTTATGACGTACAAAGATAAGTGTGGTTAATAGTATGGCAAATGAAGTCACAGTGTATTGAGAGGGTTGAAGTGGTTAGAGGAACACTTCGCGGGAAAGCTGCAGTCAGCTTGCAGTGATATTATGCTAGTTTCAAATACCGTTTTAATGTGTTATGCATCGAACATAATGATGTAAACTATCTGCTCATACAGTGAAGATGGTTTAACAAAAGAAATTATGGAATTATACGTAGTACGTCTAATACTGTAATTTCGAATACTGAAGTTGTACTTTATACAATGTTTTGCATTTTGTGTAATCTTGACAACTTTTAGTCTATTTCTGACTTTGCACGTATTTCAGCCTGATGAATGTACATTTTTGTTAATTGCAAGCCATTTGTCTTCTGCTATTGTGCTCTAAGTATTTGGACGCCAGATAACGTATTGTATTAGCGATGTATTTATGAAATGGCATGGAAGTCTTGCAGCTTCTGTGACACTGGTCTTAATGCAATCTTGTTGTTTCGGTATGGACTTGGACTTCACGTTTAAGACGAATGGGACGTATTTTCATTGAAAGTTATCTGTGTAGTGCTTGCAGTAAAAATTAACCCAGGAAGAAGGGACCTATAGAAAAGTTCTTTGTTTATCTGGTTCGAAATTTTCAGAGTTAGGTTTTTAGGAGATAAGTTATATAGATGGTCCCGTAGGATACTTTGTTTGCAAACTCAAATTTTTGTCCTGTATCTTTTAAAATGCTTGTTTGCTGAGACCAGTGAAAAATCAAGACGGAAATTTGATCGTCCAAAATACGAAATATATTTTGGGATTGGAAACGCAGAGCGGTTAAGGGTGTCCGACCGAGCTTGTGTACTAACAAATAAACATGATACAATAACCCACCATATGGTGTTGTTGCTTGATCGCGTGCCTTCAGCTTGGTCAGTCAACCGAAACAGTGCAGCTCAGCAACCTGTGTTTAATGCAGAATGCCTTAGACTTATAACTTCAGGTAATTATACATCACTACATCTTTCTGGATAATAGTTTCTTTGCTACATATATTTCTCAGCTTTTAACGTTCATCTGTCTATGGTTTCGCTATAAACATCTGAGTCTAATACCTCGCATGCAGTTTGTCTAAAGTCTCTTTTATTTTGTGCGAAAATACCCAGTTTGTTTACTTTTGTTTCACTTGAAGTCAGTTTGGTCTATGAGTGACAGTGGCCTAAGAAAATACGCGTATGTTTTCTTCATCAAGGCATGGTTTACGACCTACTGCTGAAAGCATGCCTTCATCGGTTTGTGTTACGTGTGGTTCTTAACTATGAAAACAGTTAGTTAGGCTGCTTGTAAGACTTCCAGCTTACTTCCGGTTGGCCACAACTAGGAAAGATGCGAATGATTTTCGTGTGGCCACCTATCCTCTGGAACCTAAGCTTAGTCCACACTGCCTGTCTACTCTTTAATTTGATCCAACTAAGCCAGTGGCCAGGATTTTCCTAATACCAGCTATTGAAGTGGGTATATTACACTTACGACAGCTGAATGGTACATTGATTGACGATGGAGTGAGGAAAGTACACAGATACACAATTACACCACGACGCAATTGCCCTCCATATGTTTCAGCCTCAGCGTTGAAGGAGAATAGGGTATTCTTGTAAAGTCCGATCAGAGTACAACGCCATGGTCACCAAGAGGCAGTCGCTGATTCGTGAATACAAACGAACGAGACTGGTGACCGGGTAAGAAGCATAGTAACTGCCACGTTTAATAATGCAGCTTCAAACGCCGAAGTTGAACTTTGTGTGCTATTTCGCGTTTTGTGTTAATTAGACCACCTGTGGCTCACTGAAATGTTGTACATTTTTTGTTTGAATGCACACTTTTGTTAGCTGCGAGCAGTGTTCGGGTTTAGTCATTGTGTTCTTGGTGTCTAGATGCCGGATGAACGCATATTTGAAGAACGATAATCTTGCTGTTCTTCCACAGTGCGTAGTAAATATAAATATGTTTTGAACAATTTGGCTTTGTTATGGAGTTTGGTCAAAGACTGTGAGGCCATCTTTTCGGATGGTTATCCGTAACAGTTATCATGTTACGCCGATATTATTATGGGCAACAATGTATCCTAGAAACCCCATCCAGACATCAATATGGTATCAAAGTGTATTATATGGAGTAAATTTATCTACTATGGAGCTATAAACACTACCAATATCCTCACCGAACAGTATCTTTATGACTCCACATTGGATAAGTTTATTAGATATAACGCATAGGTGTACGGTATTAAACTGGATTAATTGCTTTAGATTTTTAGAGGTGTATCACTGTGTGCTGTCTAAAATAAGCTCAGACACTATGGAGCTATACTGTACCACAAAAAGTTATATGTAAGTTTGTACCCTATAATCTAATGGATACAGCGGATAGCTGTTTCGACATAGATTATTTGTATGTTAGGCACCATGTCTTCAACCTGATAGGCATATTTATGTCAGGAAAAAGAATAATACTTTGAGATCTTCCGAAGATTCGTGCACTGGTTGAGCCTTTAAGCTGGTATTCCCTTTATTCAAACCATTGAGGACAAATGTTTATCCTCATTGATCCTTTAAATGTAGAACTGCTTACTCTCGGGGAACAGTGGTCTTCAGAACTTGTTTGTCACTTCTTAATGACATTATGGCCCCCTGGGGCGTAGAGACTGACAGACAAATTAACTAACCATACAAGTGAGGTTTGCTGAAAACTTACCCGATGGTAACTCCATTGTGTCATATTGGAGCATGGCGAACTGTGTGTGATACAAGTGACTCTGGTGACGACTAACTTATGATCGTGTATTATTCTTTCTCCAGGCAGTCCCAATGTAAGTGCGTCCTACATTTACCGAAGTATTCAATAGAAATGACACTATTTCAGAAGGGTTTGAGGTATTCACTTCGTAATATTCCATTTCCCCTTTTATACCTATCTTTCTGGCCGGTTGACTGTCTGTCTTCAAAACGTCAGATTAGTTATCTAGGCATACAAATTCATCCTCGCGCTCTAACAAGCGACACATGGATATATTGTTTGAACATTTATTACTTAAAGAGCGCATACGATAGCCACCCTCCATCAACAGTGGCTGCAATCCTTCCAAGTTGTTGGTACGGTTGATATTAACAGTCTTACGATTCAACTTTCATGTCTTTTCAAACGGAAGAAAAATAATCTTTCTCTCCCACAATTATTGGTATTCTCTGACAGTACAACATCACATCTTCAGTATACACCCTGGATGGAGGATCAGGTAATGTAACAACACGCAAACAGAAGCTGCTGTTGTAGCCAGAGTCTAAACGTTCGGAACAAAGAATATTGTGAAGCGATCAACCCGTATTCAGGACAGGTGATGTTTGAAGAGAAATGGATACTTGCAATAATTTTTATTCATCCAACAGTGAGACGGAGGATAAGAGGGCTGATTTTATGCAGGAAGTTTGATCATTATAATTCACAGTTGATTATTATAAAAGACTTTCAACCCCTCTGTAACACGTGCATAGACTCTGATCACGCCCTGTGCACGTTTGCGCTCACGACTAGACGTGCATGAAAAATATTCAGCAATGAAGCCATTAATTCCCCAACTTGACTAGGACACAGAGTCTTTACTTAGAGAGTAAATGGCTGAACGCCTACCTGAGATCGAAAGCAAGACTGGTCCTGAGGAATTCTGGCAGAATATCAGGCCAGCTGTAAAGACTGTTAGTAACCCAAAATAAAAACATTGGTGGAAGTCGGTGGATTTCTGCTAATTCGTTCGAACTGATAGACACAAGAAGACTGGTTCCAAGGGGCCCTGAATATGTTAAGGAGAGAAAGTAGCTTAAGATCAAACTAACAAACAGTCTTCGCAACGAACGTGAACATTGGTGGGCGACTAAAGCGGAAGGGGTTGAAAAGGCGTTGGAGATAGATAAGGCTGAGCAACTACTTAGGGTTGTTAAAGAAACAGGTAGCTAAAGGCAAATAATAAGCGAAAATATTTCCGGGAGAAATGGAACCCTAACTAGCCCTCTGAATAGACGACTGGAATGTTGAATGTACATTCTGAGTATGAGGATGATGTAGTCCTCCTGGGTGAAGACGCTGATAAAATGCAGAGTATTCTGAACACCATGAGCAGCAATGTTTGGCATACTGTTCGCTCCTGTCTAATGTAAGATGGTGCTACAGGACTGAGTGATGCTGACCCCTAGCTTGGATATAGGGAGTGAACTGGTAGAGCGTGTTGACTACTTCACCTTTTGAGAAGTTGCGTCAGCTCCAGGGAGTCGATCGCTGAGGATTTCTCAGCATGGATACAGAAGGCTGGTTTAGCGTATGCCAACTTACGCCAAAATTGGTTTGGAAGACGTGATATCCGGCTGACTGCACAACAAAGGGCGTGTGTACTGCTCAGCAGTTTTCTGAGTCCACCTTAAAGGCCGTGAATGAGACATTGCTATTTAAAAAGTAAGACATGAAAACGCTAGCTGCCTTCAGTCATAGGTGTCTGAGGTCTGTCTCCTCTTTCGGGTGGTATAACACGGTAGGTATTATTGAGGTTAGCAGTAAAGTGTTAGGTAAGAAGGCAAGAATTATGGATGAAGTTGTGAAGTGATATCGACTGAGATGGCTAAGACGTGTGTTGAGTACGCTTAGCCATCATCTTCCTCGGAGGACAGTGTTAGCTAACATAGAGTGCTGGTGTGTTTTATCATTCATGCAAGCTGGGATTAAGAACAGAAGAAGGGGTTGATAGACTTCTGCACAATGTCCTGCTTCCGTATTTCTTCTCTGACTGTAAATAACCCAAGCAAGAGCTTCGCAACAGGGAAAAGCTTCTGTTTACTTCAGTTAAGTTAGATCACATCCTTGCGGTGTTGAAAGCTATGAAAACTTATGTAAACCTCTTTACTCCACATTCTTTGTTCCTCAAACCAAAATTGAAGATTAAGTGTTTGTATTCTCCAGAGTTCATTATTTAACCTTGACAACATTTCAACAGAACGCAGAAATGCGCTTTACTAAGTTGTTATCGTTATCTATGTAGACAAATGTTATGGTCTCGTTTCAGTCAATAGATAGATATGAATTCAAAGAAGTCTTGGGAACGTATAAGTTATTTTTGAAAATTTCACTTGCATCTTGTTGTTTAGGGGTGCATTTTCGGAAGTTCGTCTTGCAGAAGATCAAAAAAATCCGGGGTCATTTGTAGCAATCAAATGTATCCGCAAGAAATTTCTATCCAAAACACAAAATTCCGAGTGTGCTATTAAAGAAGCAGAGTCACGGAAGGAATCTCTGAACAATGAAATAGAGGTGTTGAGGAGGTTCGTTAAAACTTTCTATTTCTCTTCATGAAAGTAGACTCAGACATCCTAATATTGTCCAATTATTTGACGTTCTGGAAGATTCAGAGTGCTACTATCTTGTGATGGAATTGTAAGTATTGGTTTTACGATAACGAATGAAGTATTTCATTGTTTATACTTTTCATATAATCAGTGGAATTAAAAATTCAGCTCAGCTTATCGACTAGACACTGCCACGGTTTAGGTTTTTGATATGTCACCCATTTATTAACTACCACTACTGAAGTTAATTAATATTTAAATGTTATGAAACTAAAAAATGGTCTCTAACAGCGACTTTGAATACAAGATATTTTTTATGTTTATACTAACCTTCCACTGCCAAAACTTAAAGCGCAAAAGTGTCACAGTAACCCATCAGCTGATTAAAGACTATGGTAGGGTAAAATCTACTCTGTTTTGCTTACTACCTTTTGGGAAGTCTTGTGCTCCTAGTAACTGCTAAGCTGGTAAAGATTTTGAAATTAAAAAAATTAGTTAGCGTTAATTTATATAGCTTTTGACATTGTGCAGCCTGATGTATGCGCACCTAGTTGAGAAAATAAAGCAGTAAATTACAGTGTTCATTCTTAACGCAGTGCATTTCTCGTCGAGCACTTCATTATATTTGGCTTAAAATGTCTTACTAAAGTCTTCGGATGTCAAATTCTATTAATGATGAACAGAGAGATTCGGTTTATGCTGTTCCAATTTGTAGTAACATGGAAAACATGAACAGAATTCCTTTCACTCTATTGTTTTAGTAATTTCTCGACATCATTTGATTACTTCTTAACTGACAACTAGGTATAGTGCCTGTCAGGATTCTTCTATCATGATCTAGATAAATAGATTTAACTTGGCTTCAGAAAAATAATTATCAAGTAATTAAAAATCTAATATTGTTATTTTTATTTCTAAGCTCTTCCTTTTAATAAATATGATTTCGCTATACTAATATAGGAATTCGGCGAGATGAGTCATTGCGTTACATTTCGTGTTATCAGTATCTGTCATTGTAGAGCCGCAGTCCGCTTGACTTGTCTACCAAAGAGAAACTACTGCATACCAAGAGATGTTCGGAATATAGTGTAACAGAGGTTTCTGAAGCATTGTATAGCCTAGAAGCTCTACATTGTTAGGAAAAATCACGTTACAGAGTAAATGTAGAAAACGATAAATATTGGAGTCTTTTTCCTCGCCATTTTCTTTAGCATCGGGAAAGTTTTAATAACTAGATATTTATAACGTATTTAGTAAGTCCTTGGATTATTTTACAAATGTACAGATTTTTTGGTGTGTCAGTGGAACAGTGGTAGTATACTTGGCGACTACGGATGTAGTCCTAGGTTCGATCCCCAGCCGACTCTCTCCTTTACCTCGCTAATTCTGTAATTAAATCGGGAAAGAGGGAAGTTTAGGCATGAAGCTAGCAACCCCGTCCCGTGAAAATAAACACTACTGCTACCGAAACTTCAAGCCTCTAGCTTGAAACCCAATGTTCCACTGGGAACGCAAGGGAATAAAAGTGACAGATATTTTTTAAAGCAGGGTAATTTAATTGACCCATGCTAACTACGAAATAAAGCAGCAGCGGTGGTGAAATGCTTATTTTTCTTTTCAAATCGCATTATTAAGTTCCACTATTGTTTAGTTTTATTTCTGTCATATTTATCTGATTTATTTCCTGCGTAAACAGAACAAACGACTATGCAGACAGCTGTCAACTTAGGCGACGTTCGTAATTACACGTATATATTTGATGTTTTGTTAACACTTATTATCGAGGGTGTTTTGAATATGTCTATAGTGTGAGTTAACTGAAATATTTCTTTTTATGTCATAAGGTATTTATGAACACAAGTTACAATGATAGCTTACTACATACTACATAATATTTCAACGTTTAAATAAACTGTTTTCATGATAAGAAGAAGTCCTTTGTGATGTGCAATAAATTTCTGCATAACTAGAAGACAAGCAGTCACCCATAAAGCTAGACATTGTCACCTGGAATCTTCTTGAGCTCTTATCAGTCTGAGTCTTAAGACTGTCATTTATCATTTCCATTTTTCCGGGCAAAACATACTACTCTGGTAGAGTGCTGCCTTATTATTATTATTGTTTCCTTTAGTTCTTAGAGGAACATAGGGCTTCAGCTGCACGTCTCCATTGCGTTCGGTTCTCTGCCGACGTTTTCATCTGGCTCCACGTCTACCCACATGCTTCCATCTCCATGTCACCATCGCACTGACGAACAACTCGCCGCTTCCCGTTCGGGTTCCACTCGAGGACCTATCTTGTGATGTCACTTGATGGTTTTCTCAAAGTATGGCCAATCCACCTCCACTTCTTCCTACTTATTTGTTGCGCAATCGGTTCCTGGTTGGTTCGCTCATTGCCAGAGATTCCTCCTTGTTGCTGATCTTTTCTGGCCGGCCATCTGATCTTGAGTTGTGTTGAGCGAAGACAGCTGTTGATGAAGGTCTGTAGTTTGTTTGAGATGCTCTTCATGACGCGCCAAGTCTCTGATCCACAAAGGTGTATTGCTTGTTATACCGTAATACTGCGTCCATAACTCTCTTGAATATTTTTGTACCTGTTGAAGACTATACGGTAGTAGAAGTAGTAATTCTGTTGCTTTACACTATTGGTGCAACAAAGTTTTACCCAATATGGTGATCGTATTGTGCATAAAATTCACTACTTTCATTAGTGAGGATTTATACAGGTTCAATAATACGCCAATATAAGAGGAGAGTTTGGGCACTGTGATAGATTATAACCCCACGTTAGATAAGTTTATTTTTGATATAACACAATGGTACAGTATTGATATCTGGATGCCTTTTCAAGAACAGTTTATTGTTTACAATCATATCGATGTGATATACTTGTTAACTGAAGTTTATATGACTTCATGTTTCATGTAAATGGAGCTTCTCTATATCTTTTAAACTATCTACTCAAACAGTGTGCTTCTGTTCGACCTGATCATACTCTGTTGTACATAAACTACTCTCCGAATTACATCACTCATGACTTAAGGCCTATGTAGACGGTGTAAGTATGATTATGGGTAATAACACGTTATATGTTCTAAATAAAGTTTAGAAACCTATTGCGAACTGTTTCTTGACATGTCACTGATGGCAGTCATACTTTTAATTATTCTTTATAAATTCCGCAGATGTAATATATTGCTTTCATAGTGACACTGTTCCACTAAGACGATCTAACTATTTCAATGTCTGTTAACTCCCAACTAGACTATACTAAGATGAACAGCTTTCTATCAGGAGTTAGCAAATGGTCTTCGTCTAATGGCCTTAAACTAAATCCTTCCAAATGTCAGACTGTTAATCTCAGTTTCCGATGTAAAAGAAAGTTAAATGAAGCTGTTGGTTCCTATGACTGGTATAGAAACCAAGTCTGAAGTTAAGTATCTTGGATTAATTCTTTCTTCTGACCTATCCTGGTCTTCCATGTCTTAGCGATTTCTAAAAAAAATTTCGTCTGACTTTTTACATTAAGAAGTTAAGGCACTCAGGCATAACTAACCCTCCTCTTACAGTTTGTCAACTCGTGTATTTTACCTATTCTTCTTTACTGTTCACCCTTATTCTTTCCTGGATTGCTTAAAAAAGACTATGTCATACTTCGTAGAACTCTGAAGACTGTCAGTAGGGCGAGTGGTAGTATTCCATTGGGCCATATCGCCGTTGACATTGTCACTGATAGGCACTTGATGTCATGCTACAAATTTGCTAAAGGAATTTTGTCAGACTGTGAGCATCCACTTTACCCGCAGCTCCAACCTTGTGTCTCCTCAGGTAAAACAAGAAGTCTTTTCAGAAGAATTTATGCACGTACGTCTAAGTATAAAAATTCCACTATACCATATTTGGCAAGTATTTTATGTGATGAAAATAGTGTCAGACATGAACTAACTAACCTTTTCACTACTAAATAAACCATTTCCTCCACCCTTACAACATCAACCTTTATTGTTATTGTACTTCTTATATTTATAATCCTCTCAATTTTTTGTTTTTATTTGTTTATTTTCTCATAAGTGTGAACATCATTTAAGCTGTGTTATTACTGTTAATTTTGTATTTCCCCTCACCATACTATATCAAGAAAACATTAGGTCCAATAATCTATAACATGCTAAAATTTCCAAACTGAATCGACAATACTGTTTGAAACAAACTCACTGTTATTATTATATTTAATATTCTCAATTCGTACTTCGAATATTTCTGACTTTATACTGTAAATGTGGACAAATTCCTCTGGTTAATTTTGTTTTAATTTTATTTATATTTTGAGTAAATCAGATGCAATATTGTGACAAATGCTGAGAATTCCATTCTGTATTATAAGTACTATCTGTTTTGGAATAAAGTAGATTATTATTATTATATTCATCACCATCGATTCAAAAGTTAAACTGTTGTTTATTGAGCCAATGATTCGTAAAGTCTGCCTACCTCTCATGTGACGAGTAGTGACTTTTATTATTAGAATTCATGCTTTTCGGTGGCACAGCGGTTAGGACTCTCACCGACCATGCACATGGTCCTGGGTTCGATCCCCTGCCGACGCACACCCGATATCAATGGGCGGCCTGCAAAATTTGGGCTACCAATATCACATGCTGAAAATTCCATACTTGTAACGAAAATACGGTGTGGAATCAAGCTATAATAAAAAATTTTAAAATTTAAAATTTTCATCACTGGACTGCATTGTATCGAATTGTTCTGTTCCTTTTAGTATAAGATCACGTTCTTGATAAGAAGTTTCTTTTTGACAAAGATTTTCTCGACTTACAAGTATTAGTTGCGTGTCAAACTTTATCAAAAAAAACAACAACATTTGTTCTAATGTTTCAACCAGTTTGAGGAGGAAAAACTTGATTTTACAGAATTTTGTTTACCATATTCTATTCATACTTTTTCTTCTAAAGTTTCAAACAAAATTTACTGGTGGCAGAGTTCTATACATTTTAATCACGAAGGCTTAGTACGACGTTTCGTATTTCGCTTTTAGTATCTTCTCTTATGTCAATCCTATCTCTGTAGGCTATAATTTCTTTGTTATCATAAGTGGCACTGCTCGCTTTAAATTTGTGTTTTAGTGCCGAGTGTTTGTCATATGAGGTAGTTTTGTCGTTTTCAGGAGGATATGTATGTTCCATAGTTGGTTTGTAAGGATTAGTTCTGTTTTTACAAGTTGATCACGGGTTGCGTACTGATGATGATTCCCAAGCTAGGATGAAACAGCTGTCCAGTACTCCCGAGTTTTCAGTGGTTCTCTAGAGGATACATATATATGCCATTTTCAAAATTATGCAAAGTTTATTTGCATTATTGTCCCCTTGGGTTCTAAGTGGAACATGAAGCTTCAGCAGAACACCCCGGTTTCACCCTGTCCTCTGAGGTCCTCTTAAGCTGTCTCCACGATTCCCCACAGGCTCTCATCTCATCGTCATATAATCTGCTCCATATCTCCCAAGGACCGATATCCAATTCATTGTTTCTCACACGGGTTCCAATCGACCTATGGTCTGGCGTGCCGTATCACCCGACGGTCTAATCCATTTCCACTTTCTTCTACATGTTTGTTGAGTAATAAGTTCTTGATTGGTTTGTTCCCAGATTTATTTTTGATATAAGAATAAAACTTGTGCACTGTGGTAGAGCATAATTCCATTATGGGTAAAATTTGTTTTGATAAAGTCTCACAGTGTTATACAGTAATGTTTACTGATGACGTTTCGAGCACAATTTATTGCTCATAATCATATCAAGGCACTACTCACACAACTTTCTAACTTCATTTATATAATTCCATTATTTTTCATCGCTTGATTTGATTGGTAGTAGTATTTTCCATATTTCCGGTATGAGTGATGAGTCATTCCTATTGCATATGTTGGGTGTAGACTGGATGAACAAAGATTCAGTAATCAACCTCTCTTTCCACCTACCTAGATTACTTTTTAGAATTTTAACCCTCTCCCACCCTATTGTGTGGTTGTGTGTTAATGCATGCAGTGCAATTGCTGAGCTTTTTTTTAAATTACTTATCTTCTCTGAGTCAATCATTATTACCTTAGGTAAATTCTTATGTTCCGACAATCTGACTACCTCTGACCTAATAGTTTCACCTATGTAGTTGACCTAACTCACAGTCATTGCAAGGTATTTTGTAAATTATATTGTTTTGTCTAATTGGATCAGCTGGGTCCTTTAACCTACAGAGCTTGTCCCTGAGTGAGTTTGTAGGTTTAACTGGTATAACTCACAAAAAAGACCTAAATGATGAAATAAAACAGATAGAAGAGGCGTTGGTGTTAAATAACTATCCTTTAAAATTCATTAGGAAGATTGAAAAAGGCCAAAAGAAAAACAAAAAGAATAGTGAAACTAGTAATAATAACATAAATAAGAGAGAATGTAAGTCATCTACAGTTATACCATATAAAGAGGGGACATCTGAGACTCTACGTAGGATTCTAAATAAAGCAGGAATTAGGGTGACATTTAAACCTACAAACTCACTCAGGGACAAGCTCTGTAGGTTAAAGGACCCAGTTGATCCAATTAGACAAAATAATATAATTTACAAATACCTCGCAATGACTGTGAGTTAAGTCAACTACACAGGTCAAACTCGTAGATCAGGAGTTCCGTCTCCACAAGGTGAGACAGAATAGCGCTGCGAATAGATTTTGTTTGTCCTTTGCTTAACCAGGCGGGATGATGTTCGGAAATTTGACGAGAAACACGCCCAAGTGTACGGTCTATATAACTGGCTCCACAGGAGCAGTTAAATTGGTATATACACATGGAATAGGCGAAATTAGGCAGTTTGTCTTTTATTTCCGAACGCAGAAGAGGAGTGGTTTCAAAGATACAGCGTAATTCAGCAGCAGGGAATGCTCTTTTTACCACATTTCTAAGGCTATGTGTTAGTATCTCACTTGTGTTGTCTCCTAGGAACTGCATCTGTAAGAACAAGGCCTTTTTTGGAACTGTTGGTAACTTGGGCTGTTTTGGTTTCAGATTCATATTCTTATTAATAAACTTTTCGGGATAACCATTCTCACTTAGCAACCGTTTAATATTGTTAAGTCCTCGTCAAGACATTCATCCGAGCAAATCTCTCTCGCTCTGTGGACCAAGCACTTTATTAGATTGCATTTGTATTTCAAGGGCACAAAGCTGAGAAAATGTGTGTACTGGCCCGTTGTTGTAGGTTTTCTATAAACACTTCTTCTTATTGTGCCATCCTCTTTTCTGGTCATAAGGACGTCTAAAAATGAAATACTAAAACAAATTTTACCCATAATGAGATTTATTTTTGTTGCTACTTCTTTCTGCTCGGCCATTTGATGGAGCCAGTGAAGGCAGCTGTTAATAAAAGTCTGCAACCTGTTAGAAATGCGAAGTTATCTTCAAATGATATCTAATGTAACTTAAAGATCGCATGGGGATAGGGTTCGGACAATCGCTGAACAAGCAGATAATATTTAATAACCCTCTCTTCCATCAAAATAATTACCTATATTATCAACTGCAAAAAGACATCCATAAGGTTTGAGCGTTTATTTTTGAAAGCACGGCGGTGGGATATCAGGTGAGACATGTGGAAGGGATTTCATCATTCAGCGTCGTTCAGTAGATAGGAAGAGCATTACAAATTATAAAGAAGACATACTTCATACTTGGTAACTAGTCTTGTCCTTCTGAATTCTTCAGTCACTAAGTGTCTGTTGGTGACCATTGTGTTCTGCATCGATGAGAGCCTACAAAGATGCTTTAACTATATTCAGTAAGGGGAATAAAGTTGGAAAGCTTCAATTTATGAAAATTACTGATTACGCCTCTATGAATTGTTTTTTTAAACCTGTTTTGTTTGCAAAACTTTCTAGGTATATTAATAGTAATAATCTACCGAAATAATTAATCTACCTCACTCAAATAAACTCTTAATAGGAATCCAACATTTATTTGTGAAAAGATACATTTAATGATTATAGAAAATCCTATTTTACAGTTGTTATTAATGAATTATAATGATGAAATTTCATATATTCATCAAACGGAACAAGTTGGCGATTTTCATTAAACACTGGGTAGTGAGTAACTAGTGTCATGCATCTAGCCGTTTGTTTGGCCACCATGCCACTAGGTGGCTTACCATCACGGGGAACTCTGAATTGATGTTATTATGAGATGGTTGGAGGCAGTCAGCAGGAAGCCTTGGACCTGGATCTAGGTTTCGTGCTTGCTGGCAGTCACCAGTCAGTAAGGTGTATCTGTAACTTTGTCGGGACTCATTTCCTCTGTGAAAGTCGGCAGTGTTACAAGTGAGTAATGCGTCTGACAGGTGTTTATTTTGTCGTGTATTTATTCTGAGTATATATATATATATATGTATTCTTTTAATTGTAGAGTTACTGGAGGCGAACTATTTGATCGTATTGTTCAGAAAGGTAGTTACACTGAACGTGATGCAAGTGCCCTTATTCGACAAGTTTTATTTGCTACTGAATATATGCATAGTCAAGGAGTTGTACATCGAGATTTAAAAGTAAGTACATATTCTATACAAATATTACTTTGTTATTATTTGAAGAGATTTCTGAAGATTGTGAAGTTTAGTGTTGCGTGTTCTCTTGTGTTATTATTTGGAAATCATTGTCAAAGTCTTTATGCAAAGTGTATGGCATTTAACATTTCAATGCATAAGTTTATCACAAGACAGTCTGTAATCTAGTATTAGTTTGTCTCATTTCAACACCATTTTGACACTACTATTTTTTTCGACTTTGACCACGGATTGATATCAATTAGAGAACCATTGAAAACCAGCACTGGAGTATTGGACAGCTGTTTCATCAGCCTAGTTTTGGAATCATCGGCAGTATGCACCCACAATGTGGGGTTCGAACCTAGGACCTTCTGATTGCAAGGCTAGCGAGCTCGTATACCATTCAGCCACTGGGACCTGATTCAGTGGCCAACCCATGAATTCGAACTTCTAGCCTGACCACCAACCAATGTCTTCGGCAAGAAATCCATCCTCACTCCCGACTGGATGGACCTCAGTGGTCACCATTATTATTATTATTAAAAGATTGATTAATGAACAGAGACTATTCTTTTCGATAAACTCTTCTTCATCAGCTTCTACAGTTTACATAACCATAATAATTAAAGAATTATTGTTATTAACAACACAAATACTGTTTTAAATTGCACTGAATCAATAATATCGATCGATTACAATTCAAAAGCATTAATATAACACTAAGCTGACTGAATATCAGATAAATTAGAGGAAGTAATAGAGAATTTATAAATTTATAGGCTCGACAACATGCCGAGGTAGTAACAGTGGCTGGCTAGACGTGTTCCTTTTACACACAGAGCTCCGGTTGATTTAAGCGAATTTCAGTGGCCACTGCTGTTTGGAATGTTCGGTATCTAGAGGCGTTTGTTAATCTGTTCGATATCCGATAGATGATTGAGAAAGCCGCTTCAATCCTGCTGGCTTTGTGGCGTGTTTGTACAAGGTGATCCAATATAGAACTGTTGATGGTTTTAACTGGAACCTTGTTTAACCACACTGGTAGGTGTTCCCGAGGAGGAAAAATTAAGTTCCTAGTGTGGAACGGTTAGTGTAACTGGCTCCACATGAGCAGTCGAATTGATACATACAGAATTATAAACTTCAATGAGTACTGTTCGCCATAAACCAGCATATAACTGTTAGAAATCATTTATGCAACCTACTAACAATATATTGACATCACACCACTGGGATTTCAACAAGTTCTGATGGTTATTTCATATAGTATTTACCGTCTTGTAGTACAATCAATACACACACACACGTAAGATAAAACTGAAGGGAGAGTTAAAGTTTATGAAATAGAACAAGAAATCGATCTTCAAGGAGCATAAAACAGATTATATACTACAGTCAAATAATGTCAAGTAGCGAAGATAATAGTGACAACAACAACAACAAGAGACTGAAGTGGAATAAAATTGAATTACCTGTAAAAAGCATAATTAAGGTCAAGGTAAAGGAGGAGGTGTCCCAATATGTTTTCAAACATATTTTGTGTACTTAGTGCTTTAGCTAAAACTTAAATGATCGAAGTGGTTCATTTTAAAGGATGAATTCCCTGGAATCGGATGATATGAATTTTGTCAACAGTTTAAAAATCGATAATTTTTTCAATCTACGTTCACCCAGCGTTGAACAAGTTGAATGGTGTTCAGCAGTGCAGGAATACATTTTCATTAGCAGAGAATTCAATTGTAATGCTCAGTGTGATCAGCTTCACTGGAACAGATGAAGTAATAGACACACACATATACACACACACGCAAACAGAAGCTACCTTTAACGGCAAGGTATCCTTCACCCAGTTTTGAATGGAGTCTCAAATCCTCTGTCATCATGAAATTCAAAAAATCGCAAATATTGACAGAAGTTAGAATTCATGGGTCACTGAATTCCACCCCAGTGGTTGATTGGTCAATGAGTTCGCCTCGTAACCTAAAGGTACTAGGTTCGATCCCCCTACAAGAGGGGCATGGGTGCGTAGTGCTAAAGAGTCCCAAACCAGGACGAAAAGGCTGTGCAGTAAACTTGAAAATAACTATTATTATTACTATTTCCCTGGGTTCGGAGTGGATATCGGGCTTCAACAGTACGTCCACATTTTGTCCTTTTCTTTCCGGTCCTCTTCAGCTGCCTCACGATTACCTATAAGCTTTCATGTCCTCCTGACACTATCTCCTCCATGTCATCCTCAGATCCACACCCAACTCGCCGTTTCCCACTGAGTTCCACTCTAGGGCATGGCATGCAATGTCACCTGACGTCTCCAGCGTGTGTCCTATCCATCTCCATTTTCTCCAGGATATTTGTTGAGCAATCGGCTCTTGGTTGGTTTGTTTCCACCAGAGTTTCTTGTTGCTAATTCTTTCGCAGATATCTATTTCATTAGGAGCCTGCGAAGACAGCTGTTGATAAAAGTCTACAGTATCCTGTTGGAAATGCTTTTCGTGACGCTCAGTACAAGTTTCTGACCTATATAGAAGGACTGACAGACTTAACATTGGTGTTGAAAATACGAATTTTGTTCTTTATGCTGAGTGCAGAAGATTTCCAAACTGATTTCAGAGTGATGAAGGTTTGACCTGTCTTTTCAGTTCTGGTTGTCATTGACATCCTTATCTGTGTTGTCCGACTGTAGTTGAGACGATGCTGCCTAGATAAGTGAAGGTAGTAACCTCCGTCAAATTTATCCCACTGGTAGTAATTAGTGGTGGCGCTTGTTGTGGTCGGTTGGTTGTTTTCATCACTGGCGGCGAAATAGTTACATGTAGAATAAAGAAGATTCATTGGCTTTGTGAGATGACAAAGACTGAATGCATCTCTGTGATTCGGAAGGATTTTGAGAGTGAAGTTAGCGCGCTAAACATTCATTTTTTTTATACTTATAATCTAGTTTAATTGGTAAGCATTCATAATTCCTAAATTTCATATAAGCATAAAACTTGGGCACTGTGGTAGAGTATAACTGCATTATGGATAAGATTTTATTTTGATAAATCACAGTGTTATACAGTAATATTAACTGATGACCACGTTTCGAGCACAAGCTATTGCCACTCATAGTTATATCAAGGTACTCACTCACACAACTTTTTCTTTCATTTATATACATGAGTGGAAATGATTAGATATTTGAATAAAAATCAATATAGGATAATGTACATTCAGAAATAATAATATGAGTGTTACCAATCAAATACAATCAGATGGGAAATAAGACGAGTGTTTTTATAGTCAAAATAAGTAACTTGTTAGAATGTTATAATGTACGTGAATTGAAATACATTTTAACATTATTTATTATCCTCCTCTGATTTACTGACTGGTGGTAATAATATCTTCCATATTTCTGGTATTTGCATTGAGTCACTTCTATTGCATGTGTTATGTTGGGTGTAGACTCGATGAACCAGGCAGGATTCAGTAATCAACCACCTCTCTCTCCACCTACCTATATTACTTTCTAGAATTTTGACTCTGTCCCACCCTATTGTGTGGTTGTGTGTCAATGCATGCAGTGCAATCGCTGAGCTTTTTTCTAAACTACTTATCTTCTCGGGGTCAAGCATTCTAACCTTAGCTAAATTCTTATGTTCCGACAATCTGACTACCCGCGACCTACTAGTTTGACCTATGTAGTTGACTTAACTCACAGTCATTGCAAGGTATTTTGTAAATTATATTATTTTGTTTAATTGGGTCCACCGGGTCCTTTAACCTACAGAGCTTGTCCTCTGAGTGAGTTTGTAGGTTTGAATGCCACCCAAATTCCTGCTTTATTGAGCATCTTACATAGGGTCTCAGATGTTACCCCTCTTATATGGTAAAAATGTAGATGCTTTATATTCTCTCTTATTTATGTTATAATTATTAGTTTCACCATTATTTTTATATTGCTTTTGATCTTTTTTGATCTTCCTAATGAATTTTATAGGATAGTTATTCAACACCAACGCCTCTTTTCTCTGTTTTATTTCATCACTTAGGTCTTTTTTGTACTACTAAGTGCTATTGCTCGGTTTGCTAGACACTTAACTAAGCCTGCCTTTACAGACAACGACGGATGAGATAAATTAAAGTCTAAATATCTATTAGAATGCGTTGGTTTTTATAAACGCCAGTGTGCAGTTCGCCTTCTCCTGTTCGTTTTATTTTACAATCTAACATAGCTAATTCTCCTAGTTCATTTTCCGATTCAAATGTGAATTTTATTCCCTTTACTAGTGAGTTTATGTGTGTGAAGAAACTAGAGGTGTGTTCTGTTTTTAACACTTTGTGAAAGTGTCATTTACATATCTCCACCATATTTTTGGAGTAGGATTAAATGTTTTAAGAGCAATATTTTCCCTACCAGCTATCCATAAATATATCTGCTACGATAGGGGATATTGGTGATCTACCCCATCGCTAAACCATCTGTTTGTTTATATATTTTACCCTGGAATTTAATGATAGTAGATGTGAGACATAAGTGAATTCCTGAAATAATTTCCTCTTTTAACTGCTTCTAAGGCCGTATTGATTGGTATATTAGTGTACACACTAGTTATATCAGAACTGATCATTTTTTATTATTCTTTAATTGAATGTTATTTAGTTTCCTTTTCATTTCACATGAATTAGTTAGTCTAAAGTTTCATTCTATCTAGGAATAACTTTTGTATATATTTCTCAGAATTTGTGAGAAAACAGCATGACTATTGGGTTGTGTCAGACTTGATGTTGAAGGCAGTTACTCATTCATGACATCGGGTCACGCATGGACTATATTGGTTATTGACAAAAGTTTAAAAGTTATTCTTCATTGGATTTCAACGGAAAGGTTGACTGGTAGTAACATAGTGACTTTAAATCATGACGACCTTTAGGCAAATCTCTTATAAGTTAGTAGGTGGATATTAGCAAACAATGTCAAACTGGCATGTAATAGTTGTTTAATATTTGAGAGAAAAGAA